TTGCTTCATTCTTTCCCATAAACCATAATACTAATTGGTTTGGAAATAAAGATTTGAAGACCATAGATACACAAAATCTACGTCTGAGACCTCAAGTCAAAGCACAATAAAATTTTCTGAAGACGTCAAAGCATCCGTTTGACTCCACTGACGATAATGAATGAAATATAATTTCTCACTTAAGTCCTTATGCATAACGTGCATGAATAACGGTGGTACTAAAAGGCAAGTATGAAATATTCTGGAAAAGCTTGTTTCAGGGATTTGTATTCAAGCGGACAAAAGATCAAAATGGATAGACGAAAGTAGTGTGGCCCTTGACGTTTGATAGCCAAATGGCAGTCAGTTCAACATGATTAGGCTTTCATATCAGATGAGTAATTTATCAATTACAGATGTATTAACAAGCGACCAATTATTCTATCGATAAAGATAGAAAAACATACACGCACATATATACATAAACGCCCAAGCCTAAAAGTGGATACTTGATAAGAACAAACATATGAGTGTACGGGACAACTTTAAAAGATGACAAACATTTTTCTGTTCGACAATTACAATCAACCTACGTACATATTAGATTCACGATCACCTCACAGTTAAGTCGAATCCTTTAGAACTTAGTTGCTTGAAAGGTACTTTGAGTGTCCTCGTTATTACAAGTTATGTAACTTTGAAATAGACTATGAGATCAACCTCAACAAGGAGTGAGTATCTCCAAGCAAAAGTCATATCTTGATAGATAGTAATTTAACATTTTGTTACATCCAGTGACATTTCTTCAACCCTAAAGTAACATGCATTTTAGTTTCGTGTACATTAAATACCGATATATAGGGATTATCGTCTGTTGGCTTTTGAAGATGACCAACTACCAAACCAGTATAAAATCATTAGTAAAATCGCCTCACAAGATCAGCAATTGACATCTTTATCACATGCTACTGACTCGTTTAACTTGTGTCAGATGAGTGATTTCGTGAACTTAAAACATGGGAGCACCGGCAAATTTAGGACCTATTTGTGGATTCAAAGAAATTCTTTAGAAACTAGTCACACACTCGAACAAACTCGTTGCAATTTATTGGGTAATATTTGACGGATTTCCATAAGAAAACATTATCCGATCAGAGAACTCGTGGGATTTCCATGGCACAAAAATCTATTACTACTGGGTTTTATAGTTGATCAAAAATATAAAAACACGAATTCACAACAATATGAAATGACTAGGGTGTGATGTTTGTACTGACTAATAATTCCCTAGTACATCTTTCAGATCTTGGCTCAAGTTCCAAGTTCAAACGTTCGATTATATTCACGGTGTTCACTTTGAATCGGATACTGATACGTTTTGGACTATTAGAGTGCGAGTTAGATATTACGAAGAACAATTTGTTAGGTTGGTGGGTTCGACTACTTCTGATAATTTCATAAGACCAAATATTGAGTTTGTTACTTGAATGTAATGAGTCCAAGATAAACCAGATGAATATTGACAGCACAAACTGTACGTTTTAAGCGACCAGGTGAGTTAAAGACAATTGAGAGAGAAAACTCAGTGTGATTGGTAGTGCTTGTACTAATGAACGAAAATCAGTATGACATAGTTGCATAATGAAATTAACATGTCATAGTAAATAAATTTATACAGTAAGTAACATATAATGTGCAAGAAGAATGAAACTATACAAGATTTGAATATACATATGAATTCCAAGTTAACCATCTCTACAGATTGCTATAATCTCCACAATATGGTCTATGAAGAGCAATATTAATGACAAAAGACGTTTAGGAGGCTGCTTGAAATAAATCAGTGGGTAAGGAATATGACAAGCGGAAATTTTATTTTCCATTGAATTTGTCACAACGAACATTCGTGATAAAGGTGTTTCGCATTTTGTTTGGTATTATTTTTCTTCATTACCTCCAGTTTCAAACGGTGGTTACGAGAGTCGATAACGAATCAATTCGATTCTAGGTGACTAAATTTCGCCATTTTCTACTTATTTGAGATCAAGTATATTTTTTCGTGTACCAAAGAGATTTATATCGAAAACAAGTTATGTTTTCGTTTCGTTTTATGAGTTCCTCCTAAAAACTCTTATAATTTAGGACTGTGGTGGACCAAAACATCGTAAATTCAAAAAAATGTTTCGATATTAACTTCCGTTTTCATCTTTTAAAATTGTAACTTACACGGTGCTAGTAGTCTTGAAACAGCAATTACCGTTAGTTTAATAATGCACAATACAAATGGTACAACTGTAGAAATATCAAAATAACAACCTGATTTCATTCATATCAAATAACTTCACATGTAGCCATATTCATTTGTTACCTTAATAATTATAAAGTGTAAAAGGAAATTTTCGGCCTTATGTTTATGCTCAATTAAATACTAATAATAATAATAATAATGATAATAAGCACAATATTCAAATAATCGGTCATTCTTTCTTTGTATATCTTAAAAACAAACCCAAATGACACTACCTATACTGACCTGTGAATGTAAAGAAATTTAATTGATGAAAGAAAAATTCTGATTAATTGTCCATTCAAATAAAGAATTACAAGGACAATCTCCTAAATATAATAAAGAAACAAAAATCTCTTATAAAATAGCTTTGAATTAAAATATGTTGAAGGTGAACAAATTAGAATATAAATAATTCTAAAAAGAAATTCTTTTCAAATTAAATCGTGAAAAATTTAATTCAAATTGTTAAATAATAACAAAAGAATCATTTAATAGTTAAATCCATGAGTCGATTAAAGCTAGACCATCATAGAAAACCTGGAAGTATGGAGCTTCTCAGTAGTGCGCAACCACGATCCTGCACACAGGACTTGAACTATTACAATCATCCTAGTATAGGACGAAACGGCCGTTTAGTGCTTCTAGGTTTTCCGTGGTCGTCTAGCTTCAATTGATTCATGAATTTAACTATTAAATTACTATAATATCCACAAAACCCCTATCTGAAAACAAAGAATCATTAAAAAAAGACAAATGTGGTCAAATTTAATAAACTGTACGAAAGTGTACTAAATTAATCTGTAATTAACTATAAAAAATATTCCAAACTGTTCATCTTGGTTGTATATTTTTGTATGTGTAGATATTCATTCATTTTTTGTTACAAAATATATATGTATATAGGGAGAGAGAGATTAGATGGTGGTTTGAGGTAGTCGACAGGAAACCCTGGAGCCGGGTTTCGTGCTACTTGGCACTCGTCAGCAAGGTGTACCTGTAATTTCGAGGGAACTGGTGCTCCCTGGCAAATTCGATTCCGTGTCACCCAGTTTCACAGTCTGAGACGTTACCACTGAGCTATATATATAGACTGAAACACAATATGGATTCTATTTTTTCATGGCCATTAACGCTACTTTTACACATATTTTAAAGGTGTCTTCCTAGTTCAAGCACTATTTGTTTTGTGTTGACCAAACCATGAACCATTTTATCTGGTTAGGTTTCATGTTATTCAAACTGCTCTTTGACGTTTGTTGGTCTCAACAAAGAAAACTGGTATCTATTACAAATGAAACCTTGTAAGACATCGTGTTAATTCTTTAATTTGATGCCTTAATTCATTATTAACTATGTATTTTAATATACATAAGACATATGACATATATGAGAACTATATGAATGAAAGTAAATGTTAGATATTGTGACTTACAAGACATATTTTGTTGTTAGCTTCCATGATAGTGAACTTAACATTTTATGTATTCTTCTAACAAAAGCATTTAATTCGTTGTTAAGAATTTTAAAAAGTTATGTTACATAAACGGCGTGAATATTCTAACACATCACAAAATCTATTATTTAATAGTATATATAAGGCTAATTGTCGCTTACCATACTTTAAAAAACCCTGTAACGTTTTTGTATCAGCATTGGATTACTAATATTTGGTTATTTTTACAGATGAGCGGAATCAGTGTTCTTATTATTATTATGACGTCTACCAAAAATCTGATACTCACACTTGAATTACTGCTTAGTCTAACATCTCACACTATGTGTTGTTCTACACTATACATTATGCGTGTAACTAAATACCTATCTTTATTTGACAATCAACATTTTGAGCTCTTTTCTAAAGTCGAAATCTTATCATTTATAATCAAATATCTCCATTTCCATTCCATTTTAACTTTAATCTTAAACAACTACTGGGAACTATCACATAGCAATTCGGTAAACATGTGTGAAAGCTTTTACTTTATCATTTGTCTCACTAAACGACTGTGGTTTTACTAATGAAATAAATTTATCGATATATTTAATACATCAGACTTATTTCAATCGAATTATGATTAATTGATAATACAGGAATATAGAAAACACTACGGACAACTGTAAATTTAGTTATATATATTATTATAACTAGAAAATGCTATTGTACTTCAAAAATATATTTTGTTTACCGTTTGTTCATCTGTCGGTAGCTAAAACCTCATCCTGATGTAAACTTGCATGATACATCTTGATAAGTCATTCAAAATAATCTGTTAAAGTCCTTTAACCTATTTACTATAGTGGTTGACTCAGTTGTAGCCCGATGACCACTCCTCTGACTGTGAAATTAAATGTTCATATCCAGTTATCTAAAACCGTACAAATTATATCACGATATCAAGTTACTCATCTTTGTGGTGGATGAACTTCAGCTGAGTACTAACGATTAGACAACATGATATTGACTACTACTGTCTGACATATAACTAAATTTTGTTCGTGTATATCAAATCTTTATTAGCTTTTTTGGTGAGACTCTAATTTATGGACAACCTTTGAGCGACGCTAGACTGAATTTGAGAGTATCCACCTAATAACCAGTACCAAATGAGTGTTACAAACTTGTGCGAGGAATTAGAATTGTGATATACAGTTGATGATTAGGGTTAGGAATTCAATTTAGAGTTTTCATCACAAACTGACATCAACTATAATGTCAAAATTCTTATTAGCCAAATGGATGAGTGAATTTCGTGTCATAATCTGATACCTTTTATCTTATATCTGATTAGTTCATCCATAAATTATAGTCTCGCCTATTCAAAGATTAATATAAGAAAATTAATCTTCATATCATAAATTACAACAACAAAAAGCATAAAGATCATTTGCAAGAATAATTTTATTTAATTATTTTTTTAATGTTTAACTTATAGAAATTAACATTTATGAAATAGATTTTAATTAATTAAACTTCCATTAATCCACCACGAAATTCTTTGATAGGAAACCAACGTTTTTCATTCATTATTTTCCACCATTTAGGAATATGTGATCTTTGATAACTAAAATATATAATCAAATAAATTAATAATTGATAAGGAATTAGAGCATATTCATAATATATTGATTGAATTGGTATATCCACAGGGTTTCCTGAAGAAACTCTCGAGTATAACAAGTAAGAAAATAGTCACACTGACAGCTAATAAGAAACCTCTCTTCTTGAAGCTGCAATTCAATGGTGATGTATCTAGTGATGTATTGCGTGATAGACTGACTAGAGCAGTAAAGAGAATGTTTAATGCTGCCAACCTCTGTCTATCGTATTCGACCCGATCTATGGTGATTCCCCAACTGAAGGATAAGTTACCTGGTTATGCCACCTCTATGTGTATCTACGAAGTCAGCTGTTCTTGTGGAGAAAGCTATATTGGGCGCACTACCATGCAACTAAACCAAAGAGTTAGTGAACACCTCCCTTCGTGGTTTGGAAAAGGTAATGTCGAGACAATATGCAGCTCGGTTCTATCACACTTGATTGATAGCGGTCATGTATTAGATAGAATTAAGTCATTTTAAGTTATTTATCGTATTCCCACTAGTTTCGCTTATGGTGTTCGATCTCGTCTTCTACACATGGCAGAAGCTATAGGAATTCGAGCCAACAAGCCAAGTCTTTGTGTTCAGAAGGAATCTGTAACACCCTTATCTCTTCCTTAGCCTTATTAAATGAATTTATTTATTCTTTTTCAAACTTTCTCTACGTTTATTATTTTTCTTCACCCCCTCCTACTACTTTATTTTCTCTCAACTGTACGTTTCATGGTCCAATTATCTGAACATTTCTTATTACGTCATCTTATAATTTTATAAATGTTATCTCACCGTCTATATTATTCTAATCACTGACCTATTTTCGACCATGTAACATTGATTTGAGCCTTTATTAATCTTATCAAACCTAGTACACCTGTCATCACACGATCAATTTGTACTTTTCACATATTATGTAATTGTTTCAAATGTCTCATAAACTACCTTGATTGGTTTAATAATTTCATATATGCATATAAATATTACTGTATATATTAGAGTAAAGCCTGATGAAGATCTAATCGAAAACAATATTGTTCGCTTATATTTGTTATTCTAAATAATTTATTTGTATATTTACTTAAAATACATTGGTCAAAGTGAAAATGTAACTGATACTATGGAAATAGATTCATGTGACTCTTTAAATTAACTTCAAAATGTTTTGACTGTTTTCTTACATCATTTGAAAAAAAAAGAGTTTTATGATCAAATAGATTGTTGATTAGAGAATAAATAAAATTACGAAGTTTTTTTAATATTTTTAATTGTGTTTTATTCTCTGAGCTGGATAGTTTAGTCGTGAAGCATTTATCATTCTTCTAAATGACATCAATACAAACGTCAAATTTCACCATATGTGGTTTACAACGTGTTCTGTAGACTTCAATGTTGATTGGTTCTTGTTCATACATTTTTATAATGATAAAAAAGTCTTTGAAATTTGTTCTTGGTTGTTTTTATTTAAAAATTTGGACTGGAATTGATGTTTATGGCCTACAAGTGGCCTATATATGATGATGAATATATGTTACAACCGTTTTGTTGTTGTGTAAATACAATAATGTTTTACATTAGAACTTTCTCAGAATGATATTTTTGAACAGTTTTATAGTGTTTTTCGAAATTATGCTCTAATAAAATTAACGAATTGTTTATATTATATTACTGTATTTTAAACACTTTATGAACAACAGTTAGCGTATATTCATTTCTCCAAACACTCGATCGTTTTCAAGGTATTTGATTATAATACCTACTGTAAATAGATTATGTTTGGTATATATTTATCAAACATTGAGACTTTGATATAATTTTGGGGATTTGGGGAGATCACAGTGTTTCCAATGTTGGATTCATGAGTCATTCTAAGCTACACTACCACTGAAAACCTGGAAGCACTAGATGGTACACTGCTGAGGAGTCCCACCCTAAAACGAAATGGCCATCAAGTGTTTTCAGGTTTTCAATGGTGGTCTATCTTAGATTGACTTATGGACTTAACTCTGATATAATCCTTTAGAAATCAAAGTTTTAGCGTAGGTTTCTAGAATATTAAAGCTATTCTTCCAAATGTTTTGAAGAGGAATTCTTAAACTGGGTATTCTTTATTGATTACAAATGAAAATCACAGTAGGCCTCCTTAGTCTGTTGTAAAACTTTATTGACAACTACTGCGTTTGCGATAATGAACAGATATTTTCTGAGCATGTAAGCAATCAAATGCTTTTAAATCTAAAATCGATAAACATCATTTTTTTCAGAACTGAGGATGTATTCTTGGAAGAAATTATACTATGCACTATTACTAATGAGGCTTATAGGATGTCAGTCTTCATTACAATAGTTAGGTTATTCTCTAACTCGTCTAGTGAAAATGTTCTATTATAACTTGAAAACAAACATTATGTGGTGTTTAGCTCCTGTATATTATCAGCTCTTAAATCTATGTTCGTTTTCCATCTGTGGACCCATCAATGCATTCATCATTTCTTTAATGAGTGACAGAACATGTAAAAACATTTCGATATACTGTGCATACATCACAATTTGAATGTTATTGAAGAACCAGGTAACATCATAGGAAATGTTTGGACATTAAACTCATGATGATAGCTACTGAATCTTTTATCAGGACGCTATACGTTAATAAAGCCCGTTTGTAAATCACTAATATCAAGCTGCTGTTTTCAAAGCTTGTCATACAAAAACACTATTTTTTTATGTACAACTTAATAATATTACATGATAACTACAGAATATCAGAATGGGTTTTGTGGAGTTTTAGAAATTTCACAGGTTGAAATCATGAGTCGATTGAAGCTAGACCACCATGGAAAACCTGGAAGCACTGGATGGCCGTTTCAGTGGTCTAGTGGTTAAGTGCTCGCGCGCGAAGCCAGTAGGTCCTGGGTCCGAGCCCCGCGTGATGCGGGGTCGTGGATGCGCACAGCTGAGGAGTCCCATACTAAGACGAAACGGCCGTCCAGTGCTTCCAGGTTTTCCATGGTGGTCTAGCTTCAATCGACTCATGATTTCAACCTGTGAAACTACAGAATAATAAGAAAGAAGACCAGTTAGTTATACAAGGCTTTTGTATGTTGTAATAAAAGTTTAAACCATATTAATCTATCAGTATGAATGATATTTCTTTACGTAAACGATTAGTAAAGTTATCAGAAATATTTGACTACACAACTTTTGAAAGTATTTCAATACTGTTTTAATAATTTAGTTTAACTTAGTGATCAAGAACAAGTCTATAAATTCCTTCTTTGTTCATTGTTTATTATAAGTTCTAGTGAGATTAACTCTTTGTCCAAATTGACGTAGGAAGGAATACGTTCGAATCCTCAACTTATTGATTGAAAGATGGAGGGCTGATAACTAGTTTTCAAAAAGTAGATCACAGAATAAGGTGCATTAACAGAATTGCTTACAAAGTCATTATTCCAGTTCTATAATCTGTATAGTATCTGTGAAATGGTTTGGAAGCATGAATCATGAAAATATTGAAATCGTCATTGTATATTTAAGGAACACTTAAACGATAAATAATAATACGAATAAACTCACTAATATGGACTATTATCAATGAATGAATTTGAATCTAATACTGCTTCAGGTACTTCACTTTTCAAATAACCATGTGGATTTGCATTTGAACTGATCGCAAACATATATATGATAACTATATAACATAATAATCAAAATAAGTGAAAATTATTTCATATATTAGTACATACTATTTTAATTCTTATTAAGTATTATATTCCAAGTAATCAATGAAATAATCATTAAAAATCAAAACAAACATAAATGTTATGTGCAATTTTATTTTTAGCAAATTTTAATATCTGATATGAATCCATTTCTGCTTCTAATTTATTGTTCTTTGGTTTCAAGTTCACTGTATGTTAATGATTTTAATGCTGGCTATATGCTAATCATTGAATCAAACATATCCATTAAAAAAACAAACTCATTTACTATCGTTGGTATACCATAACAAATTCATAGATCATTGTAAGTTAGTGAACTTGTTAAATGGATGACTGGATACTCTCTATATATATTATATCACTTATGTTTTTGCTAATTAGTTGTAGCTGGATATAGAAAGAGGAATTCAATGAACTGAAACATGCATTTCCGTGATAATGTTCACATTGAGTTTTAAGGCATCCGTTTTATAATCTTGTAAATAGGAGCAAACTGATTTCTAACAGTATACAAGTCAAGAAAACACGCTTCGAAATCTAACCATAAATTACATATTGTATCTTATGGATAATTTAGTAGTTGAATTCATGAGTCAGTTAAAGCTAGATCAGTGGAGTTCTGTCGGATCTGTTGTGAGATCGTAACTCTCTGAAGACAATGGTGGATGGTGTCGCAATTTCGCCGATTGATTTAAGTTAGACATTAGCACCGTTGGATTATGGTTCAGTGGTCTAGAGATTAAGCATTCGCGCCACGAGACCAACAGGTCCTGGTTTCGAGTTTCATGGGCGGGGTCGTGGATACGCACTGCTGAAGAGTACCATAGTAGGACGAGACGGCCATCCTATGCTTCTATATTTTCCATGATGTTCTAGCTTTAAATGACGCATGGATTTAACTATCACATTACTGAAGTCTTCACAAAACCCCCTTCTGATTATGAATAATTGTTTTCACTGTATTTTTTTCCCAAAATCACCACCGACTGATGGACCTGAATTATAATAAAACATTTTCTTTGGATCCTACTACTTGTCATCATTATCAAAATATATGATGAACTATTTTATTATTTTACGTGAAATTTTTTTTAAATTTTGCCGATATTTTATTAGATTTGTCTTATTCAACAAATTACTCAATTGAAAAACAAAATTTATTTTATGAGTCTACTCAAAATGAATTCGACAACATACGAGTAGTAATTTTATCCTTCTTGGTTTATTCAACAAACTATACTAAACTGTAATCATCAAATGTTCATTTATATTACGTTAAGAAGATTTGATTTTTAGTTTTTTAAATTGAAGAACCAATATGACACTTCAGGCGAGACTCTAATGTATGGACGACCTTTGAACGAATCTTAAGTAAGCTTGAGAAATATTAGCCAATCAGCAAACAGTCAGTATAGAGTAAAAATATGTTATACAAAACCAAGGAAATAAAGTGGATACATTTCTTATACGTGGTTCAAAAACTTGTCAAGGTTAGAAGGAGGTTCAGAGGTTCTAAAATCGTAATGCATGCAGTAGAGGAAATTATCCATAAAGCTACAGAATAGTCGGCCTCTGGATTCATGATAAAGTCTCAAATACTATTTCAGCATCGACCACATAGCTTCATTATTGTATATGTGCACTCCGGTTGTTGAGTGCACAATATACTACTTGTGGATAACGACAAGATGCACAAAACCAAGCCTATGTGGGAGTCTTTACTCTCTCCAAATATCCATATATATTGTAGTGTCTGACTGCAGCCAGTGTTACTTGTGCTTTTATTATCCAGTTCGCGATAACTGTTGTAGTTTACCTTAGTTAGGAATTATATATGAGGTTTCCATCACGAACTGACATCAGCTATAATGCCAGAAGTCTATTTAGCCAAATGGATGAAAGGTTTACATGCCCAAATCCGAGATCTATTATCTTATACCTGATTGATTCGTCCACAAATTATGGTCCCGCCGTTTTATTTGTTATAGCCACTCAATTATCACGTTTTGTACAAAATTCCCTGTGAACCGATCGTACGTTAGCATTAAGCACTGAAGTTGGCGCCGTAACCTAGAAATCTCTAAAACACCTCTGATTGGCTCGTCCATAAATTAGAGTCTCGCCGACACTACATTATCAAAGAAATACCAATGTTCACTTTAAACTAAATCCAAATTTCAGTTTTATATTGAAAATAAAGTCTTAGGTAAATACTAAATAAATAATCAAGGAATTAAAATTGTTTGAATACTCTAAAACTGTTATTGAGAAACCATTTGTAAATAATTAAAAAATAAAAGTTTAAGCTCAATAGCATGGAAACGCAGGTTTACGTTCATTGAATTAGATGTCATGAATAACTAATGATTAGAATATATCAAAACAGATATGATTAGTTTCTATAATTTTTGTTTTAATACTTTACCTTAAACAGATCTTAGTTTAAAGAAATTTCTGTAAACTAATAAACACTTGAAAACTATTTCGTCCTAGTATGAAACATTTCAGCAGTATGAACGCATAACCCTACCTAAGATAACACTACAGATCTCTAGGTTTCTTTTCAAAGCTTAAACTTCAAACCATTAAGTGTATACCATTTATTTCTAATGTTATGCGCCTTCATTCACACACCACTTTTGGATGTTGATTGAAATAGTCATTTTAACAACATTAAAAATTTCAGTAATAAATTTCACAATGAAACCTATAATGAAATAAAATATTATGTGTATAAATATCTTACTACTCGTTTTACATCTATGTCAGAGTTTCTGAGTTGAAAAATTATAGTTGATAGTCATTTTGTGGTGTGTGCTACTTATATTGACATAAGCAGTAGATAACGTTAGTCGTGAACAGAATATCTGGCAGCAGAGAGACAAGAGGATCAAACAGTAAAGAATGGAAACAGAATGTAATTTGTATGAAAATGCAAGAACAATGAAGTCTGAGTCATTATGAAACGATTGATAGACATTTTGCAAATTACGTATTTACTATTTGATTGTTCGATTTTATTAACAAGTCCTGTAATTTTGTGTCAAATACATTCGGTTGTCCCCGCTGGTGTTCTTGTTCACTACGATTTGATAAATAGTAATTTAATTATTTTAAACATAGATTGTATTGTAATCACTGATTAGACAAATGCTTGTAAATTACAACTCAATTACTTGCGATAATCATGTTCGTTTTTTAAAAAATTATTGTTTTAATTCATAGACTGATAGGTTAAAATGATATTTGAGAAATATAGGTTAAACCTTGCTTATTTGTTCCCTAATATAGTTCAATCTATCTGAACGTATTTAGAAGTGATTAAATTGATAATGTTTAATGAACTATATGGAGGAATGCTTCATAATAATCATAATCATGAATATGTCTATATCATCTTATTAAGTAGTTTCAAAATCTAATGAGAAGTAGAGTATCTCTATTTGTTCTACTCTTTTTTATATTTTAATCGATATTTTCCCGGTAATAATTCCTCATCCCAAAAACACTTTTAAACAAATTAACCTGATAACAGTGTTATTTATTTGATTTTTAAAAAAGGGCTATTTTTTCATAAATAGTTTTGTCTCATGTTTTCAACTCATCAAATACCAATCACAGCAAATTAGAATTTGTGATTATGTAATCTTTCAAGATATGAGAAAATACTTTTAAATGACCATATAACTGTGCTAATAATATCGAAATAAGTAATATATAATAAGAATGTCTGGCAACAGAAGCTCAAGAAGATCGAAGAGGATGGAACGGGAACAAAAAGTAATTAGTATAGAAATGCAACAACATTAAAGTCTGAGACGTTTGACTGATACTTGAAAAGAAAACAGTTATGTTTCAGATAATTGATTGACGTTTTGCAAGTGAAGTATTCACTGTATGGTTCTTAGATTTTACTAAGGCATTCTGTAATTTTGTATTGAAATACATTCGATTGTTCCTACTTGTGTTCTCATCCACTACAATATATTAACTGAGTAATTTTTTCATCTTCGAAATGTGTAAGTTTTCTTGAAATGTAACTGTTATGTAACCACTCAAGCATTCAGATATTGTATAAATAAGAATACATTATCAAAGAGTATTCGTAGATTAGTGAAATGAAGTTCATAACTAAGTTTATTCTGTAAGCTGAAGTGTTTGTTTTACTGTTTTTATTTCGTTTAATGTTAAGATTGTAAACACTTAGATCAATAAAAAACACTCATTTTGTAGTCGAAGTCTGGAATGATCAAGTAATAAAGCATATTTAGAAAATCTATCTATTTGATTACTGTATGGAAAATATTCTTCCATCATATGCAGGATGAGAGATCTTATACAATTGCTTATAGTTTTCTTCATTTAATTAACTGAATAAACTTACAAATTGGATGTTAGCTAATGAAGAATAGTAGAACTTAAACAGAAAAACATTGTTTTGGCACAGGTATAAATAATCAATATTGTAGAATTCCTATTTCGATGATAGTTTCTACATGTATATAATCTTATCAAAACCTCTCGTAGACCATCATCTTATTGTTCCTCTCAAGGAATTTTTTAAGAAATAACTGTTTCTGTGGAATGTTACAAAACGTTATTTACACTCGGCAAGTTCATTTTTTTTTACCTATTTTTATAGTTAAATGTAATGACCTGTTTAATAATATTCTTAATCTACCTTCTTTCATATTTATATCGTCAGAACAGTAATCTATTTAAAGAATAATATTTCATCCAATTATTTCAACCGATCCGACCTCTATTTTGTTCTTTTTTTTTTCCCTTTTTTTGTTGAAAATCTATCCAACGCTAAATTATTTATACAGTTTAAATGAGTTTTCGAAATCACATTTCATAGTATTAATTTAATTGACCTGGAAAATATTCATTATTCATTGTTATTAATAATAGTTTTATTATTATTTTAAGTCTAAAGAAAGCTTGATTTCATTTTTTTCTCTCAGATGTTTAGTAAATAGGTTAACAGATGAAGTTGAATTCATATGCTTTATAATTGATCAAAATATATCCGCAATAAAAATGTAATAAACGAGAACACAAGTAAGGACAATCGGATGTATTTCAATACAGAATATCTTAATAAAATCTGAGATTCATACAGTAAATACTTCATTTGCAAAATGTCAATCAATTAGTTAAAACCTTCATTGTTCCTTTATCAAATGTCAATCAATCGTCTCAAACTTCATTGTACTTTCGTTTTCACACAAATCATTTCCTGTTTTCATTGTCTTTTCTTTGAACGTCTTAACCTTCCGCCTTCAGATATTTCACTTCCTAATGATGATACATACTATTTATATCTGTCGACATCAGTAGCACACACCACAAAATATCAATAATCATATTATTATTTACGAAAGAAATTACTCCTCACATTTTTTCCAATCGTATACATTATTCTAAACCTAGATAATTCCGAAGATTCTATTTCAAATTTAATCTTAAGTACATTTTTATTCTTTGTGCAAAGAAAATCTAAAGCGTTTGACACTAAGTAAGTACATAGAACTTAACTGAAAAACACAAACCATTCATGATCAATGCTGTAAACTTTGTAAAAATACATTATGATGTTTCTCTTTGAATGATAAGATCTAGTATAGTTGCGACTTAGATTTAATGTCAGTTACTTAATCATAGATCTTGATTTACAGTCCAAAATATACGGTATTAACATATATGATAGTTTAGCCATTGTAGAAAAACGAATTTTGATTAACATCAGAAGTTTAATTTCATTCTTCTTTAAAAATCATTCAAATATTCAGGTGATGTGAACTGATTGCCCTTAGTTACAATTCACTGTTCAATGACAAGCCTCATCGATACTCATTAAAAATGTAATCAAGTTAAACTGATTTTAAACCATTATTTTTTGGTGCGAGTCATGTTTTATAACCTCAAATGTATATCATATATCTTACAATCAAGATTACAATTATATCGATTACATCATAACTATCTGTAATAGTGAAAACCAGATAGTAACTTATAAAGAACTTATAAAGAGTGCTTTCCAGTTTACGTGAATATTCGTCAATATATGAATGAAAATTTCGACAGCAACTAGACGCTGAGTAATAGAAAGAAATCTTTTGAAACAAATTATATTTACATAGTCTTAGGAACTAGAGTTGGAATAATTCCAACCGTTCACCCAAAAACCTTGTCTGGAACTCTTTGAAGTAATAATCGGAATGAAAACTATCATATATATATATATATATATATATATATATATATATATATATATATATAGTTTAAAAAATAAATCTACGCTAGAATCCCAGCCAATCATCTTCAGTTGCTAATTCTAGTCTAATGTATATTCTTTGATACTTTTGATTATTATACTGAAGAAGTTGAGTGAAATGTTATAATTATTTATTCTAAAATCTTACCTAACCTTCTGGATCTCTTATCAGTATATTCAATTATGCTTAAATCAAAGTAAATTAAATAAAAAGTTATTTCTTAAAATGATCATTTTAGTCCTCTCTCAATTTCAGTGTATGTTCATATAAGAGTTTTTTAGTTATTTTAAAGTCTTTTATACAGAAATCAACCATTCATAGTTTAAATTACATATTCCATTAAAAGAATATACATATTAGCTAATCTACAATCTTTTCATAATCCATTTAAAGAAAATCCCAACCGGTGCACGCTTATGAGTAAGACTGTATTGGAATTATTATCATGGAAATTTACAAAACAAACAATTCAATGAAAACAGTCTAACTCTGTTGACTAGTAAGGCAATGTGATAAGATACTTAGATTGTTTCTTCATTTAAGTTGTATAGATTAAAATCAAATAATTCGAAAATATTTATGAAACTAACTAATATAAACTTCCAGGACAGGGTTAAACGGAGGGTGCTGGTGGGCGACCTATGCTCGTCCACGAGAAGTAACAGGCGTAGGTAAGTAAGTAAGTAATATATACCATTATTTAAAAATATTCTTCAACAATTAAAAATAATATAAATGAATTATTTTGACTGGTAATGAACTTTCAAGGTATATTTACACTGATCCTTTTAAAAAGAAAAACATCTATTTGAAACTATATCAATAAACCATCTTTTTGAGTAAACTATGATGACGTCCAATTATTAATCTAAACCAGACATCAAAATAACCTCTCATCATATATATAAACTTACAGTTTAACTCAGTAGGTAACACTCCTATAATTTAAATTTACTATTTATTCTTTCCATTATTATTATTTTGTAGAAATATCATTATCACCATCTACTGCTCAGAATAAGTATTTTCTTGCATAATTATGAAATTCAGCACGAAGCTATTACAAATACATATTCTTCTAAACTGCGTAGACCTGAATTCATAACTTTCTGTGTTGTTTTTTATCAGAAACTGTAATTCTATATGTTTACAATACTTTTCTTCAAGATTACTTCATTTCACTAATTGATTTTTTGAAGAAAGGAAAACTCTAGTTGATTACGTTAAACGGTAAACGTTAAACTTTCAAACGCAATGTTATTTCACTGCGAATTGATTCACCTTTGAATAATTACCAAAATTTGTACTTGTTTAAACCATCTATTACTAACTTAATCCTATCAGTTAAATTCTAATGTGTCCATTAGTTAAGAAAGATTCTCTATAACTTAACATTAACATGACTTAACAGTATTTACTACAGTGTAATAGTAATATTATTATCATCAATATTCGGTTACGGAACTTTATAATAAGGATTGAAAACTTACCAGTTAATAGCCGGATCATTTTGAGGAAAAAAACTTGTTTTGTTACTTAAATAAGTATGGGAAAATAAATATAAATCTATATCTATCTATCTATATATGTATATTACTCCATACACTATATGGAGAAAATTAAATCTCTATTTATATGTTAAATATGCCGTATATTTGCAAATGAATTTCATTGGCCAGTTATTTTAATTATTCATTATTACTCAAACCAATCAGTTGATTTACAGTAAATAAAACACATTTTGCAACAGCAACAATTCCGACCGAATTAAATGCAAGTAAACAAACATGGTGGTCTAGCTTCAATTGACTCATAATCTCAACTGTTGAAACAAACAAATATTTTAAAAAAAATACTAAGTAGTCTAAAGTATGGTAAATACAAAGTTTATCTGAAACAAATAGCATTACATAAATAGAAACAATTAAGAAAGTAGGCATATTATTTTTGATAAACATGTGTTTTGTACATTAAGGTTAGTGACATTTTCACAAATAGCTTTTACATTGTTACTGAAGTAGTAAATAATCAGTTTTCTAATCTCTATGATAAGCTGGTAAAATAGAATTAACAAATCAGTAGTCTAATAGTTGAATTCATAAGTCGATTAAAGCTAGATCATTATGGAAAACCTGAAAGGACTGAACGTTCGTCTCGTCCTAATATGAGAATCCTCAGCAGTGCGCATTCACGATCCCGCACACGGGACTCGAACTATTGAGTTAACACAATCTCCACAAACCCCCATTCTGATAAAAATTCAGTAGTCGTTAATTGCTTAATTCAATCACATCAGTGTACTGAGATTAATTTAATGTATTCAGCGTAGATATGATTCGTACATTTCACATCATCTGAAAAATTTTCCAAATGAAGTTAATAATGTTATAAATGTCCAAGAACAATGAATCTACACAATTTTAGTTATTATATTTTGTTATAAGAAACAGTTGTAAATAATTTATGATACTGATCTTAGTAAATTAGTAAATAATATTAAACAGCGGCTCACTGAGTGCGATCATGGTCTGGCAGACCCTGTTTAACTTCCTCCAACACTCGACATTTCTTCATATATTCGCGTAAGAATAAGATCATTTTAAGTATGAATTACGAAGCACAAAAACTCAGATATCAGTTACAAAAAACGTAAAACAAGGAATAGATTTTAGATACCATCTGTGTTTGCTTGGTAGAGACCAGAATACCGGATTTCTAGTAGTGACTTGGCAAATAATCATTTGTCACGGCTTAATACATGATTTTATAATAAATTATCAGCCATTTTAGCTAGTCTTTCATGCACTCTAGCTAGTCAAATAATAAAACCTATATATATATATATATATATATATATATATATATATATATATATATATATATATATATAAATCATTGAAGAACTCCATGAATACATATTCTAACATTGATTTTGTCTAGAAAAGATGTTAAACTTGAACACGTCCATAGGGTTCGGGACATCTAATTATCATTTGAATTCCACGTTTAATAACAAGAGTTGTAACTTATATCTTTTAAAGACAACTTGTGGTTGTCGAGAATGATAGCAGATTAATCTGAGTGAATAGTTATCGATGTTTTCAAATTTCAGATTAGCAATAATGTGTAAAAATAATTAAATAATTATTCGAGTTATTTTCAACTTCTACAATCTAACATTCTGATAATGGTATACCGGAAGTTATATTCTACTGCTTTATAAGTTAAAGTTCTAAAATTCTCAAAAGGATTTGAAGGCTACAAAAAATTATTTGACTGTTTTCTGATACTGAATATCTTAGAGGCGAATAAGTTACGACAGCCTCCAGAGAATTACGCAAAAGTATTTTTCATTATTCCCATAAGAACAAATAATACAAGAACCTGAGTTGTAAAATATTGTCTATTTATTAAAAGGTGTAACTAGGATATGTCAGTTATTTATGTATCGAGTTTTTGAATATTATTTTCGATGACCATGAATAAAAATGTGAATCTGAAGAAAATGAATTTGCTTATCATATGAAATGACATTTTTATATGTTTGCCTTATACTTACTTACTTACGTCTGTTACTCCCAATGGAGCATGGGCCGTCGACCAGCATTCTCCAACCCACTTTGTCCTGAGCCTTTCTTCCTAGTTCCATCCAATTCTTGTTCATTTTACTAATGTCTATCTCCATTTCCCGGCGTGATGTGTTCTTTAGTCTTCCTCTGTTCCTTTGACCCTGAGGACTCCATGTGAAAGCAGTTGGGCGCTTTCCTCGAAGTGTGTCTTATCCACTTCTAGCGTTTCTTCCTGACTTCTTCCTCCGCTGAGATCTGGTTTGTTCTCTCCCACAGTAGGTTGTTGCTAATAGTGTCTGGCCAACGGATCCGAAGTATTTCGCGTAGACAACTGTTAATAAACACCTGTATCTTCCGGATGGTGGCTTTCGTAGTTCTCCAGGTTTCCGCCCCATACAGTAGAACTGTCTTGGTTCAGAATTGCCTTATACTTCAAAAAATTTTGTTGATTTATGCAAATTAAACTATGAAGCAGCTTGCAATTAAGTTATAAAAATTGTAAACATTTTATAGCATATCAATTTATGATACAATTCACTGGAGGTCGGATTAAGATTTATAGCTTATAATGCCCTTATGTTGCCAAGAAAAGTAGAATCTAGATTGAGATAGTCTTGAAAATGACGTTAGCACTCATTGAATTCCTTCGCCAAGAAATTAAAATAAAATAACTTTACGAAAATTAGTATTAATATCTTTAATAACTGAATTTATGAGCCAATCGAAGTTAAACCATCATAGAAAACCTGGAAGCACTAGACGACCGTTTCTTCCTATTACGAGACTCCTCAGCACAGCGCTCATCCACGATCACGCTACGGGATTTAATCCCCCCGCCCTATCGGTCTCGCGCTAGAGCTTATCCTCTAAACCATAGAGCCGTCATCCAACAATGATAATGTTTGGCTTCAACTAATCCACGAAACTGAGCCACCGTTTGCAATTGTCTTAGAATCCCGAGGGGCGGGATCGTGGGTGCGCGCTGCTGAGGAGTCACACAATAGGACTAAAGGGCTGTCCAGTGCTTTCAAGTTTTCCATGATGATCTAGCTTCATGAACTCAACTATTAAATTGCTATAATATCCACAAAAATCCCTTCTTATAATGCTCAGTAATTATTCTATAGATGCTCTACTTTTATGTATGTTTTGTGCGCGGTTCAATATACATATATGTATATTCCTTTCATTAATGTAATTATATTTAAATTAGATTTTTTTAGATGAGAATGCTACAAAACAACTACACCCTATACACAAATTACAGAAAATTTCCATTTGCAAACATAAACATTTAGATTTGTATACAAAATAATGCAGAAAAAAAGATTAAAATACATTTTGACCTGATTTATCATTAGTTTTCATGATATTATTCTTAACAAACTGAATGACATACATTAGAACATCATAATGAGCTGGTGTCAATGTATATCTTAGTAGATGATTCATTGAATTCCAGGTAGTTTCACCAACAACAGCAAAGATAATTTTGTGTATAAGAAATATTTTTTTTCTATACACTATATGTTACTACTTCACGAGTACAGTGAAAAGACTATACATAAAAAACTTGTATAAATAATCACTCATAAATAGTAACACAGTTTTGTTATTTACTATTTGTCATGTAAATCTGTTAATACTCATGGAATAATTATGAAAATTAGAGCTCAATATTTCATCTTTCTTGCTTAATCTATATCGAATAAGACTGAAAATCTTGATTTACCTTTTTCATGGTTAGTTTTATAATTATGGATTCTCTTAAAAACTAAATAGAGTATACTCAAGTTAAGAAGAAAACATACTATTTTCGAATAAAAAATTCACAAATTTAGGAATATTCCATTCAAAGGACCTAGAAAGATATGGCTACTTATTTATTACTTGTAAGTTGAGATCTCGTTCAAATATAAATTTTCTGATTGAGACCATGAACCGATTGATGTTAGACCACCATTGAAAACCTGAAAGCAATGGATGGCCGTTTTGTCTGTTTGTGGGGTTCCCCAGCAGTGCGCATCCACGATCCCGCTCACGGAACCCAGACACAGGACCTTCGGTCTCGCGCGCAAACGCCATAACCAGTGGAGCTAATCCATGTCGGGTGGAGACAGGTATCTACCTCAGTACAATAGAAGGTAGTGGCGCAGTTTCGTGGATTGGTTGAGGTTAGACATTGACACTGTTAGATGCTGGCCCAGTGGTCTAGAGTTGAAGCATTCGCGCGCGAGACCGATAGGTCCTGGGTTCGATTCTCCCGAGGTGGGATCGTGGATGCGCACTGCCGAGGAGTCCCATATCAACTAACTTATTCAATAGTGAATAAAGTGAAATGAATTACTGTCTTTCTCATAAAAGTCTAAGGATCACTTGTAATTAATTAATCGAAATGTTTGTTAATCGAAATAACTCGAAACGTTTTAGTTACTTTACACGATATTTAAAAAAACATAAAATGTAAACATCTTATGCCTAATCAATTATATGATTACTATCTATTCTCATTCTTAATTAAGTTATTCACAGTTCATTTCAAATTTATATGTTTTGTTGTCATCTAAAGTTTTTTTGAATGTTTATAGTGTCGGTTATTATGTTAAGCCCATATACCTTATTCCAGCTTTCGGACAGCCTAATCTATTCATCCTACTTGAGTCACATTCTGACTTTGTTATTTATTCGCTTATCAATCTTGACTGTTTTTATATGAGTGCGTAGGTGTGTGTACGTTTCTTATCCCATTACTCATCACATTACTTTTGTGTAACTATAAATATTGATTAACGCTTGACTAAAGAGGAGTTGGCTTACCTCCACTCCGCGTCGTTTCTCTTTTCTCTATTTCATTCGCTTGATATACAAAACATATGTATTCAAAAGTCCATTCTCGTTATTTGACTTATCTAAATCCGTTATTGACTAACGTGATTAAAGTCGATGATTATATACGAGGCTAGGCAAAATATATATTTCAACAACAATCATCATTACGATCACCTTGGAGTCAGATCTCGGGCCACTAAAGTGAAGAGCCCT